TTTTATCTCCTCCCCATCTCACTGAGCCCCTACACCAAAGAATGCCAAGACCTACCACCTTGTTACTGTATTTGCTAACCACTTACACCTTACAGATACAAGCCACCAGTCAGCACCAGCAGCAGGTTCTAACCATGCCAGATCCAATAACAACTCAAGACGCCTTTATGAGACCCATCGTCTAGTTCTTACAGCAACTCTCCTTGACTAAAATTAGTCTCCTCTAAATCCTCTTCCCAACTAGGCCTCAACTTTTGCACTTCTCAATCTATGTATCATCCAATTTTATCAATACTCTATCCTCGATACTGGTGGCCCTCACTATCTGAGTATGTTCTTCATCTACCATTGCCCAGCAGGCATTGTAAGATGGCCCTGGCCTGCCTTCAGCAAGAAGTCTAGTTGATCAGCCAGAATTCCCCAATAGGCCCTAGTGTTTCCTTATGTAACTTTCTATCCACTGACCCCCATTCTACTCCTCGACTATAAAGTCATACTTTTCTTGTATTCAGAGTTGAGCCCAATCTTTCTTGCCCACTGAAAAACCTCACTGAGTCATCCTTATACCTATTTTAATAGTCCCAAATAAACTCTACCTCGTTGTTTTAACAAGTGTTAGAGTAACTGTTTTACAATTCCTTTTCCTAAAAAGCACCCATCTCTCCTAATTCCCCAAAGATTTCAGAGTTAGAAATTTTTCCAAATACCTAAGCATGCCTTCATTTTGGTGCTCCTCAATTTGGCCAGGTGAGAGCCTGGCCCAACTCACTGTAGTTTAGTGATACTGAAAAGTATATAAAAGTTTTGTTAAATATGCATTTTCTCAAAGGAATTTATGGCACTGAAACAGACTCCCTTTAATGTACACATGTGGCTAAATTAGGTCTCATAGAACTGTATCATAATGCTGGTGTTGGGAGAAAAGTTACGGGCTTTCAATATCGCAGTGAAGCATTCACTATACATCTGGGAGAATGTGGGATTATAAATTTTAACTGGAAAGAATACAGAATTTTATTTAAAAATAGTTCAGATGTGCCAACAGTTTAGAATTTGAGTTCTTAATTCTATTTCTTGGGAGAAAATGGTCTGGCTATCAGACAACTGCTTTAATTAATTTTCATAGTTAGCTGTGGGTATCAACTACATTTCTAACAAATGCCTCTTTCAATATGGGTTGCAGCAAAATGACATTATGGTGCCTGGGCCAAATGCCAAACTCCATTAACATAAAAAATTCAAGATAATATTCTTCCCTTTAAAGAGAATCCAGAACCCTTAACGATGGTTCCATTTAGACATGAACACAATAACGACATGCGCTTGAGAATCCATATAGAAGAAAATAACGTATTGATTCCACATATTTTAACATTTTCCATAATAAAGTTTATATAAGCACTTTTGAACAGACATTAAAGGGTTCTAACACTGATGATGACAAGTTTTCAGATTCACAATGAGTTGAAAGATTCCAACTTACTGTTTCAACCATGAAAAACCAAAGACTGAAAACAAAAGACAGTTTAGGTGTTTCTCATGTAAAATTTTCATACAAAGCATTTATAGCTTTGTTTTGCCTTTACAACTGGTTGAAAAAAGTATCTGAAACTTCTGTAAATACAGATAATATCTGACATGGAAAAGATAGAAACTGGCTAGTGTAATGGTTTAGTGATAAAGTATATGTTAAGCATGCACAAGGACCTGGATTCAATCCTCAGCACCAAAAAAAGGAAAAGGACAAAAGAAAAAATGACTACACCTTTATATCCTATTGTTGAAACTGTATAGGTTCCAAACAAAGCCAAGACTAAGCTAATAGTAATTTTCTGTGGGATAAAAATACCATACTATGCAAACCTACACTGGAAGAATAAAACGTTCTTTTGCCTACATATCTTGAGGACTGGATCTTATCTCCATAAGCAAAGAGGGATAAAAAATTATACCATGCAAAAAAAAGAAAGCAAATTAATTATACATGAATAATTGCACTGCTAACAATATTTGTACTTTCTCTCCTAAATAGTTCAAAGCCCCAGGAAAGACATCCCACTCTTCATTCCCCCAAAGTTGAGTTAAAATAAAGCCTAGGTAAAAAAAATAGCTAGCATCTTCTGTCAGTGAGAATGCTGTGGTGGCCATCCACACCCATCCTTATCTTATTCTTTGCCTTACTGCCCTTTTTCCCTCTCCTGACTTCAGCCATCCCTTCTCCACAGCCAAGCCTTGGGACTTGTCATCACACAATTCTCTACTTCATTAGACTTCAGCATTCCATTTTCAGGTGCAATCATAGAGTAACGTGGAGAAAGGGAGACAAGCACTCGTTGGTACCAGCTGTGTTGACAACAGACAGAGGGAACAGTCAACTCCCAGAGTTCAGGGCAAGAATGGTGGTGGTGAAACACAAAGAAAACCTCATAGGGTAGGATACTTAGGGTGGCTCTTAAGGAAAAATACGCATTCAGATAGCAAAGAAATGGGAAAGACATTCCAAATGTAAAGAACACTATGCAAGCAGATGCAGTATGTACCAGCAAGACTGACTCCAGTAGAGTAATTTGGTCTGTATTAAATACAGATAGTATGAGAGAACTGAGAAGTGTGCTCAACTGCACTAAGGTTACATGACCAAGAACTGTGTAAGCCACACTCAGGGAATAAGACTGCACCCATTAAACAGGTTCTAAGCCAGTCAGTACAATATCAGATAGAATCAAAGGTGCCTAGGACCCAGCAGTTAGTCCAGGTACAAAGCAAATAAATTAGTCAAAACAAGAGATGTCAGAGGCCCAAACCAAAGCATAATCTGTGGACAAAGAGAAAAGGAGAAGGGTGTTAGCAGGTAGCAAAGAGATCTTCCTGAATGACACACAATAGAGGTAAAGTGAGGAGGAATCTAAAACCCAACAAAATAAATGGATGTGAGATTTAGATGTAAGATAGGAACTATACACATATACTTGAAGGTATCAAATTAAAATTTAGTGAATCCTACTATCTAAATATTACTCTTTCTTATGTAAAACTAGTGTTCCAGAAATATCAAACTTCCGTATATCCTGTTTCTACCATCAGCACTTATTACTGTATTCAACATATTTTACAACATACTGATTGGTCTCCCTACTTTACAAAGATTAAGTGCTCCTATGAATCTGTCAATATAGAACCTCAAAAATTAAAGTATCTAATGATAGTCAGATGCCTATCATTCCCTTTTGCAGCTCTGAGAGACAGATGAGAATGATGAAATGTTAACAAGACCACCTTATAATTTATAGCCCTAGAAAAGTGCCTAGTTTATTTAAATGTATTAATAATGCTAAGAAGAGTATTCCAGAGTTCTAATAAGAATACTCACATACTATTCAGCAGGCATGAATACAATATCATTAGTCTAAATGTAGAATTAAAACCGCAAATTAAGTATTAAGGAATTACAACTAAGAAAATTTAATTTACATGTAATTATCATTCTTGGTGCACTGCATTTTATCACTGAAATATATAAATACAAACAATGATGGATGTAGGTAAATAACAAAATTCACACTTAAGCTACCCTCTAATGACTGCTTGTGTTCTGCTGACTGATTTCAATGCAAGATGTCTGGACAGTAATTCCTTTCACGTGACCAGGTGCTTTGGCAATCTTCAGACACAGTGGTCCCATGAGACTGTCCACGGCATACAATCTAATAGACTAAAAGGGCTGCCTCATAGGGTGCAGGACCCAACGTTTCTTCTTCACTCCTACGTTCAGCATCTTCTCAACCATGCTAATTCCTAAGAGCTGGAAACTGAAGTAGAAGTGAAGAGGGAAAGCCCTTTCCTGACAGTGAGAAAAACCTCAAGGTTAACTCAAATTCTGCCAGAACTGGTTAATATTTACCGTTTATTTAATTTATGAAACCAAGAAGTCCTGAAGTTCCCTAACTTAGCATTAAGCATCAGATCACCCTGATTCTCTTGATTAGTGTCTCAGGAACTCCTGGAGTGGAAACAATAACACACTCCTGATGCTGGCAGGTCACTTTGAATTGAGCTCCTCTGCTCTCCCCTCAACCCAACATCAGGGCAAGAGCACCTTCACTTCACACAGCTGCTGTCATCTGTACATTCTTTCCTGGGCCTTCAAATAAGTACACATGGGTGCCCTTATGACAACCCTTAAAACACACCTCCTTAATACTCAGCATACAGATAACTGCACACCTGCATGTAGAAAGCATGAGTGAATTTGATCACCATCCATACTCACCACCAAAAGCCAGGAGTCAGTCATGATTAAGAATCTTTTTTTAATTTTAGCAGCACAACGGTTTAAATCTTGGGCCTTACACATGCTAGGCAAGTATTCTACCACTGAGCTATACCCCCAGCCCTTTTTATTTTAAGACAGGGTCTCACTAAATTGCCCAGGCTGCACACAAACTTGTTAATCTTTCTGCCTCCTCTATCCTAGTAGCTACAATTACAGGCATGCACCAACTCACTCACTGGGTAATACATTTTTAAAAATATGTTGTACTTACTCTTTGCCAGAATATCAATTTTCCCACCACTGAAAATCTTCTACATTAATGTATGTGTGTGCGCATACACACACACACACACACACATACACACATTCTTGAACTGACTCCACTAGGAATTCAAGAGCTAAAATTTTAATATAATTTTAAATCAGTCCTTTTAATCTGAAATAATGAACATGTACGATGTTCTATCTGCTCATAATACAAATGGAAAGTAAACATAATATGCATACACACACAACTGTGCATGTGCACGCACAAACGCACACACCCGCAGAAGTTAAATGGTTCTCTCACACAAGAAAATTTTAAAATGTTTACCAAGTTTCTATGATAAGTAAAAATTTGTCATAATAAACACATAGATATTTTAAGGCTAAGTATACTGAGATAAACTGGTTAAGAAAAAATACAAAATTTTCTAAAGACACGAATAAAGCTTGTATCACTTACTTTCTGCTCAGGGCTTTCCTGAAACAAAAGCCCAAAGTAGTCCTTTTCCAAGAGATTGAGGTGTTCACATACTTTCTCAAATAACACTTGTCCCTTAGCACGTTTCTGGAGCAAAGAGAAAGAGAAAATCTTTTATTTTTCAAGTACTAAAGATTCCACCAGTAGTAGAGATTTATGAACATGATATAAAATACATGATTCATTATAAATAAATATATTTGCTAATTTTAACAATATAAAGTGAAATTTTTTCACTTTAGTCTTCCCATCCCTCACACACAAAGCATGAATTCTAAAAAGTATGACCAAAATGATCTCTGCTTTTATGCTATACTATGTAAATATAAAATAACCAAAACATAAAAATGTCGGGAGTTTTTATTTTAATTTTATATGATTGATTGATTGGTATCGGGGATCAAACTTGGGACCTTGAGCTTGTGAGGCAGGTGGCAGAGCCACTGAGCTAAATCCCTGGCCCTATTTATTTTAAAAACAGAACAAAGATATGCTTCCCTCAATACCTAAAAGTAACTTACAAAACATCTACAAAGTATCACTCCCCTAGGAAAATTTTTTAACCTGTTATTATTCAATGTAACCTACATACTTTATTTTCATCAACACTAAGGTTTGATTTTTTTATTTCACAATTATTTGTAGAACACAAGTTGTTTTTATTTTCAATCTATGCTTCTATTTACAATTTTCTACAGTACAATGTGGTATTCACCCTTTAGGATAAATTTTTTTTTAATACAAGATAATGGAACTGGGACAATAAATCAACTATCTCTAAAGATTCAATATATTTTGCCATGAGTAGATTTCTTTTCTTACTTTAAGAAGCTGCTGTCAACAGAAATATAAAAGCCCCCAACAGCCACAGAAGAGAAGCTTGTTGTCTAATCAAGGGCAAAACATCATCAAAGTGGTGACTCACTTCCACCTAAGACGCACACTCCTGGGACATCCCAGATCAGATACATGGCACTTCCCAGATGCTTACATACAAGCTGCCACCAGACTATTACAAGTAGTGAAAAACCAACATACTATTGGATTGTTTCATTAACAAAATCAAATCAAAATGTATACTTTTCAATTCACACAGTATATAAAATTAATGTTCCCCACACACATTTCTTAAGGAGGAAAATCTAGTACTTTTAAGCCTTTTATGTTTCTATAACAGAATTACATCAAATAGTTAAAAAACAAAAATCTGCAGAGTTATCATGTAATAGCAACGTACTATACACATCACTATAGACTCACAGGAATTAATATTCAATTAAAGTAACAAGTATGTTTACAATAGTTGTATGCTTATCTGTCTAAATATTTACAGTATATAAATGGAGCATAATGGCTAAGAGTACTGGACTCTATAGGTCTAATGTCAAAGTTCTAAACATATCTACTTACAAGTTACCCAAGGCAAGACATCTAATTCTCATTTGCTTTGTTTTACACATGTATGAAATGGGTATAAATAGAATGTATCACAAGAGGTGTGGCAAGTACTAAATGATTTCTAAGATATAACAACTAGTTATGTTATTTGAAACTAGGATAAAAAGAATAAGGTAACTGTCTATAAATACACACCTCAGTTCAAAGAGAAAACACACTGCAACACTGGCTTAAGTTAGCATTTCATTAATAAATCATACCTCCTCAATGGTTTTCATTTTTAAAATAGAACCATGCTCTCTTGAACAGAATTTCTCTAAGAGACCAAGAGGAAGACATTCACAAAGCTCATGCCCACAAGTTGATAAAGATACATTGGGCAGTGCAGCAGGCACAGCGCAGGACTGATGCACACCCAGTTCCTCCATCATGCACTGCTTTGTGGGCATCTTCCATTCCTCGACAAATGTGCCAGTGGTAAACTCACTTCATTTCCTCATCTGTAAAAAGGGATAACAGCTAGCAAATAACTCACTGTGATATCAAATTCACCCAATGGGAAAGGACTTGTCAGAGCAGGTCTATCAATCATGGCTGAGTTCTGCTCCCAACTGCTCTTTCACTAGCACACACTAAAACATCTTCTAGATGCTCAGGCAGCTCCTCTACTCTCCTCCCCTTCTGTCTCCCGGTGTCAGGCATACTAAAGACAGGTCCTAACTGCCTCAGTCCTGGCTGACTTATTACTTAAGTTTCCTTTTAGAGTTTGGATCAGAGATGTCCCCCAAAGGCTTACAATAGTAGGCTTGGTCCCCGTGAGCAATGTTCAAAGTGGAGCTTTCACGAAGTCACTGAATCATGACGGTTCAGACCTCCTCAGTGAATTAATCCACTGATAAGAGTCATAATCTGATGGCACTACTGAGAAGAGGGAGAAACATTAGGAGATGAGGCCTACGTGGCGGAAGTAAGTTCTTAGGGGTAAGGCCCTGAAAGGTTTTATCTTGTCCCCAGCTCTCCTTCCTCTCCTCTCCTCTTCCCTACCCTTCTCCCTTGCCTCAGGTCCCCAAACAGAGGAGCCAGCCAGGCATGAATGGAAGCCTCTAAAGTTGTCAAAAGCCGGAACAAAACTTTCCTTCTTTAAAGCCGATTTCTCCAGGTATTTTGTCACAGCAATGGAAAGGTGACTAACGTGTTTGTTTGGCATTTCTACCTTCTGTGAACTCAAAGTCTGGGAGGAAAGACAAAAATCAAGGAGGCACATCTTGAGATGTGTGTACAAAGTGCAGCAGAAATATTAACACTGGAATCAGTAACTGTGTCTCAGAAAATTACGATTTTACCAAGAACATGGCATCTGAGGTAAATCTTGAAGAAGGAAATGACTTTTTAACAAGGAGACATTTAAGAGAACTTACTTTTCATTTAGGATGGTTGCAGACACTGGCAGAGTTGACTTCTACTCCAAAGACACTGGAGGGTTCAGAAAGATGCAAAAAGGAAACCACCCTTGAACAAACCATGTGAGAAGACTGCTGGTTACACTGCCCCACCCACAGGTGACTGTGAGACTTAAGTCAAGAGGCTAATATACATGTGTGACCCAGCATCCAATAGATATTACTTTCAACATTCTAGTAGGGAAATAGTGATAAAGCAGACACACATGATCTCAGGACATTTATACTCACCTGGAAGAGACAGAAAACAGACTGGAAACAACCAAACAAAATAGCCTTATGTATCTACCACTCTGGATGACTAGGTTCCTGGTCCGACTGGTCTGAAGAAAACTGACCAGAAGCCTACAAGACAACCTGATACAAGAGCTCTGCTCAATGACAATGTCTTCCTCTAAGGCTAAGGATTACCAGATACAATCACATCTTCCCTCAGGAGTTTAAATATACCCTAGAGAGAGACACACACACACACACAGAGAGAGAGAGAGAGAGAGAGAAAAAGAGACACACACACACACACACACACACACCAGGCTCTGTTTGTCCAAGTGCATTCTGTTAAGTCTCACTGGCCCCATGAAATGTTCACATCTATACACCACTATAGGGAGTAGAACAAGGGAAATTCTGTTTACTGACACAAATACTAAATGTCAAGATTCCTATTTGCCTAATAAATACCCTAAGAGGTTCTGCTATGAACATTTTATTTATAGCATTTGATCTAATTTTTCCAAAAGTATTTGCCTAATGAGTGCACTGCATTTTTAATACAGCATTTAATAATATATTCCAAAACAGAATTAACCATGGTTCAGATCACACAAGAAATAAGGTAGAGAAGAACTGTCAAATTCTGGCCCTCAGGCAACCGAGGAGACTGGTATTCATGGTATCTGTTTGATTAAAAAGTACCAAAGGAAAATTCAGTCTAAACTGGTCCAAGACAAGATGTGCCTAGCTGCTTACAGAAATGAACAATTCCACAGATGAAATACCAAAAAACAGAATCAAAACGCAAAACAGTAAGTAAACCAGCCACAATTATCAAGACTTAGACACAATATCAGAATCAGATGTTCAATAATCCTTAGGAATTAAAGAATTCTTAAGTAGAGAACATAAAATAAGTATGTTTTATCTGTTTGAAGATACAAATAAGTACTTTAAAATATTAAGGAAAAAGTGAGCATCAAGAGCTTATTTTTAAAAGAATCAAATAAAACATCTACAAATAAAAAATTATACTAAATTATAATCCAAACAGAAAATCAGTAAACTAGAAGACAGAACTCAATACACTATCCAGAATGCAGCAAAGACAGAAGGAAAATGTCAAGGAACCTCACAGACATGGAGGGTATAGCAAGGAGGTTTCCAGATGTTTCATCAGACTCCTTGATGGGGGTAATGTAGAGAATACAAGAGAGACAATGTTCGAAGATATAATGCTAATACTACATGCCTTCAAATGAAGGGATTCCATGGCTCCCTAGAAAGATAATTAAAAACAACATTCATTCATCTATATTTGTTTTCTTCCACTAATTATTTATACTCAGTAATACTCAAAAGGCCAGGCGCAGTGGAGGCTAAGACAGGAGAACTGCCATTAATTCAAGGCCAGTGTGGGCTATAGAGTGAGTTCAAGGCCAGCCTACACTACAACACAAGACCTTGACTCAAAAAAAAAAAAAACACAAAAATAAAACACTCAAAAGTCTCCAACATATAGAAAAAGCCTCTGACAAAAATCTCTGAAAATAATAGATATAAAAAAAACACTGGAACAAGAGGGAAAAAAACATGAGCAAGGGAAGAAAGTTGTATAAGAAAAAGCAACAAAGAAACCTATAATGGATGTTTATGGAGGTTAATACAAAAAAGGCAAACAAAATAGCATATTTCTTCTTATCATGTAAAGAAAATCAGATTCTTAAGAGATGTATTATGTGCCACATACTTACGTCCCAAATTGTTACAAACCTGCTCAGGTGTGCTCTGGCAGTTACACCAAGCAGAGGCTCAACACTTCTTTTGTTTTTTCTTTTTGCCTTCACACTGCTTACAACACATTCCACATGATAATTATCATTTGAGGGAGAAGGAACCAAGACACAAGTCACAAAGGCAGTCCACAGAAAGGATTCTTCCTGCCCTCCTGGATTCCACTACGCATCACTTTTCCTGAGAATCAGTGATTCTCATCACACTAGCACTTCAAGA